ACCATTAAAAGTATTAAGGAATGCCAGAAAAACAATTCTGTTAGAGGAAAGAGAACCAGAATGTTCTTGAGAATCCAGGATGGCAAGACTTCATCTCTCATAGTTCAGATACATTATCAGGAAGAGCCAGTGCCTAGAGAAGGTTAAGTGGTGGATCAGTGAAAAGAAGATAGACCTCCCCCAATGAGATGGGCTGACACAGTGGTACCAGCAATTGGCTCAAGTACAAAAAAGATTGTGAGGATGGTGCAGAACTGGGCAGTGCTGTGTTGTGCCTAGGGTTGCTAGGTGTCAGAACTGACGGCAGCACTTAGCAACAACGACAACCAACAGAGGAGTTTAAGCTGCTTCCCAATAGTAGCTCTAATAAACGATTTTTTCCCCAGAATCACTTGGTAATCACATTTCCTATATAAATACAATTTCCAGAAAAACAAAACTCACACCTTTAAATACCACACATTTACTCTTTCTGATGTGGTTATTTCTGGACTACACTCTTACCTTTCTATTTTCTTAATCCTAAATTACTGGGTTTCAGTCATGGTAGCACATCAAGTAGACCTTAACTTGACAAGTTGCTTAACTTTTCTGGAGCTCAGAACCATGTGTAACATGTCACAATGTGACTAGCTGAACTCTTGAAATGCTTATTAATTTTTGATTCATTGACTAAATGTCTGCCTCATGTCTTGTCTTTGTCCACTGGCATTTCAGAACAGCCCAAATGCCCTACCAACACCAATTTTAATGATAAATCGACTTCTCACCTATGCATCTGGATTTGCATAAAACCAAAACAAAAGCCTACTGCCATCAAGTTGATTCCAACTCAGTGATTCATGTGCTGCATGTGCAAGTCACCATGTGTACGAGGGCTGATGGGAAGACTACATGATGCTAAGAAACATGATCCGACTCAGGTTTCCGAGACTGTAAAGATAGCCTCATCTTTTTCCTTTGAGGGGCTGGTAGGTTTGATCTTACAGCCTTATGGTTAGCAGTCCAACCCCTAGTCCACGGTGCCAACAGAGTTGTTGTTGTTAAGTGTCATCGAGATGGTTCCAACTCATAGCGACACTGTATAGGGTTTCCAAGGAGCAGCTGGTGAGCTTGAACCACCGACCTTGCAGTTCAAATGACTTTACAGTCTGACGCATTAGCCCACAGCACCACACCAGGACTCCTAGGCTAACATTAGTCATGTGTTATTCTTGGGAGGATTACAATGTCCACTTGAATCTTTTGTGTTCTGGTTCGGAGAAGGAATCCTGTGTTTGAAAGGAGTCACCTGTGAACTAGAAATCCTTAATATCTAACGTTCACAGACAAGTCACAGAAGCCAGTGACTGTGGAACATGCTAACAAAAAGGTGTGGAAAGTGGTGGCAGCAGAGAAGTGACTGACACACAGGTATTGCTGTTAGCCATTGGCCTAACTGATGGACATATGAACGCCTTTTGCTTCTTTCTGTCTTTTCTTTGATATTTTAGGCTAGCAGGAATCAGCTCTCCATGCTCCCCTACACTTACCTGAAAGCCTTGCCCTCCTATTCATTCTTTCTTGAGCTAATCCATTGGGTTAAAAGTTTGGGTTCAAGCAAGGCTCTGGGGGACACCCTAGGCACAAGTATTTGGCTGTCACAACAGACTCAACTCATCAGGTCTCTGGATTTGAGGTGAAAGGGAACAGAGTTTCTAGGGGGTGAATTAAAGGGCTGGTCTAGAGCAGAGTCGCAGGTTTTAGACATGTTACTGAACTTTCTGAGTCTCAGTGTCCTATCTATAAAACATCTTTGTGTTTACCTTTCAGGGTTGTACATGGTAACTGAGTAGCACATGCAAATTCTTAGGGCCTGGCATGTGGTAAACAAGTTAACTGTTTGTAGCAGCAAGCAAAGGATATGTTATTAATGTACAAAGAGTTTTCTATTAACCAGTCAATGTTTTTGCAACTAGTAAGGCCACTGCCTAACGCCCTTTAACACCTACTATCATTGGGTTTCTGTTTCAAATGTTGCTGAGTAGTCCTAAAAATGCCACAGTCCAAAATGGAGTCCTTCACAAAAATGATTTTTTTCTGAATTTATGGAAAAAGTACAGATCACTGAATGCCACTCTGTCATTCCGCAACCAGATCTAAACCGTCTTCTTTTTTTTTTTGCAAGCCCTTTCCTGAGGAACGGTGACAAATCTTTATAGTTTCCCCCTCCAAGTGACTTGGTAAATTCTGATTCCTTTTTGTGCTTCTGTTCCCACCTTTCCCAAATATATGACTAAAAAGACTCATCAACAAAGATTTACTGAGTGTCTACTCTGCACCCAACACTGAAAGCATGGTGGGGAAAACCAACAGACCCAAGTAGCAGTGCTACTTGGGGTGTGCAGTGCTCTGTAAGTCACACACTGGACTGAGGACCATAAGGACGGTGGTTCGAGCCTACCAGTCGCTCCACGGGAGAAAGATGAGGCTTTCTGCCCCCATAAAGATGTACACCCTCGGAAACCCTACATGGAATTGCCATGAATTACAACAATACATGTAAAATCACAGTTCTACTGAACATCATGAAAGAATCAAGGTATCCTCAAAGGAAACTAGATTCAGTTTGAGGAAGTGATAGTTGAGATCAGATGGAAGGAAATTGAGTAGGCAAAAAAAAGGGAGGATGGGTGGGGTGAACAGGGGATATGGGAAAGGGCCCAGAATTCTAGATACGAAAACCACTGAGAGGTCCAGGAATGAGAGGGGAACAGAGGCTAGATCCAGTGACAGCCTCTAGGACATGGTGAGGTTTTTCTCTTGAAGAGCACTGAAGTTGCTTACAGGCGGGGGGATGACATCCGATTTCTGTTTTGAAAGGCTGTGTAAGGAAAAGTGATGAGAGTTACCCTCTGAAAACCTGGGCATCAGACTGCAAAGTAAAGGACGGATTCAGAGGAATCAAAGGCTGGAGGTGGGAGGAGCAGGTAGAAGGCTAGATAGAACTTACTTTTACAAAGGAAAAGGCTAGGATAAAGAAGGCCCCAAAGGCCCTAATCATTATGAGCTACAAATCCATCCTGCCTAAGAAGCTGCAGCCCGAAATGGCTAACAAGGGACTGCTGGGAGGAAGGGTCTCCAAAAAGAGCCATAGGAGACCAATTTGGAAAGTGTAAGCAATGCCAATGAATAATATGTATGTTGTTGTTGTTAAGTCCCATCAAATGGGAACCTAATTTGCTGCAAACACTTCCACCCAATACTCAAACAAATATTTAAATAAAAAATATGACCATTGGTGAATGTGGGTAGAAGATGCCCTCTTCAAGTATTCACATCATAATACATCACTTGTGTTACAACCCTGTACACTTAACAATTTCAGAAGCACTGGTGGAACATAAGCACTGGACGATTAACTGCAAAGTCCAAACCCACCAGCTGTTCCTCAGGAGAAAGATGAGGCTTTCTGCGCCCATAAAGATTTACTGCCTCAGAAACCTATACAGGGTCACTATGGGTCAGAATAGACTCAATGGCAGGGAGTTTAGTTTGGTTTTGGTGGTATGGTGGGTTAAGCACTGGGCTGCTAACAGTGAGATCCTTGGTTCAAACTCACCAGCAGCTCCGCAGGAGAAAGCTGAGGCTTTCTGCTCCCATAAAGATTTACAGTCTTGAAAACCCTAAGGAGCCATTTTACTGTGTCCTGGTGTGGCACTGTAGAGTAAGCGCTGCTAACCACAACAGCAGCAGGTTGGAGGTTCAAACACACCAGCTGCTCCTCAGAAACCCTATACAGGGTTGCTGTGAGTTAGAAGCGACTTGACACCACTTAACTACGACAATATGGGCTCACTATGACTCACCAATGGCTCAATGGCAGTGGGTTTCTTAGCCATTTGTATTTCCAACCCCTGATATGAAATGAAAAGTAAACATTTCCACCTCATTACCTATATACATACATATATATAAATATTAAAACTAAGCATTGTTAATAGTTTCTTAAATGCCCTCTCAGGGGGAAAAACAAAATAAACCAAACCTTAATGGATACACATAAATAGACTAAAGAGACTAGACTACAGTGTTCTAAAATTTGCCTTTTTAATTAAACGTATCTTGGAGCTCTTTCCATACCAGCACACAGCACTGATTATATCGTTTTAAAAATAACAACTGCCTCATTTCCAAAGGAAACCCTTGGATCAGAGAATGGTTGTTGATGCTGTTAAGTGCCATGGAGTCGGATCCAACGCACAGCGATCCTGTATAGGGTTTCCAAGGAGCTACTGGTGTGTATGAACCGTCTATCTTACAGTTGAAACTGATCTTGCAGTCCAGCAAACTATCCTGCAGCGCCAAACCAGGGTCAGGGAATTTAAACCCTTAAATTTTTGAGGTAGAATACAGCACTAACCAAGTCAGACAATGAGCTCACATCCTGTTGGCAAACAAAGATAATGGATCAACTAAAACACATTAATACTTTTTTTGAAAAATCAAAACAAAAACCCAACAGGGCAGAGTTAGGGACTTACAGGAAGAGGGGCTTGAATTGGCCAGGAGAGACCTCTCTTAGGGTATGAGCTGAGACCTGAAGGCCAAGGAGACAGCCAGACAAACATCTGGAGGCAAACTGTCCAAGAAAAAGGGAAAAGACCCCAGCGAGGTAATGAATTTGGCATGTGGAAGCAATACTGAGACTAGTTGGCTGGAGCTTACTGAAACGTGCAGTGCACCCGAAAGGTAGGCAGGGGGCCTCGCAGGCTAGGATTCCTTTGGATTTTATTCCCAGTTACACCGGGAGGCCTGGAGGACTTCTTGCACGGGAGTGACAAGACCCAAAGAGAACAAGGGGAAGAGTGAAGCCACTTACCCGCGAGATGGCAGTGTGTAAATTTCTGATTCTTGGTAAGACTCTTTTCCCTTCTGTTAAATGGGGACACCAATCACCATCTGAAAGGGCTGCAAAAGCACCCCAGTCCAGGCTTCCGGGACCGCAGCCGCGCGCTTACCTGTCCTCCAGGACTGACTCCATGGGCTCCACGCCGTCTGTGTCCACGTCACGGAGCCGGTCGGCAAAGGCGATGGCTTTTTCCAGCCGTTCCACGGCCTCGCGGCTGCCAAAGTTCACAAGCGCCAGATGCTCCAGGTGTTCTATCACCTCGGCCGTGATCTGACCACTTCCCTGCGGCGGGAGGCGGGAGGCATGGGTTACGCTTGGGGCCTCTTCCTCCACCTGCCTTGACGTTCCGGCGTTTACCTGAGGCCCTGCCTTCGAAGTCAAACCCCGCCAACCGCTCAAAGGAACCCGAAGGCCTAGCCGCCCCACCCACGCCCACATGTCTCTCCTTCTGTGCATCCGTAGGGAGCCTGTTACGTTACTCTGAGCGACGCGCCGACGAGTGACGACATCAGATGCGCGCCGGACACTAGCCGCCTGACTCCGCCATGAATAGTGTCGGGGAGGCATGCACGGACATGAAACGCGAATACGACCAGTGCTTCAATCGGTGGTTTGCCGAGAAGTTCCTCAAAGGGGACGGCTCCGGGGACCCGTGCACCGACCTCTTCAAGCGCTATCAGCAGTGTGTTCAGGTGAGTGCGGCTGGAGTCCTCCCGCTTCTCTTCCCAGGTTTGGTGTGCACTCTTGGTGTCTCTAACTCGAAATATGGGATCTTAGGGCTGTTGACACTGGGAAGATGGGAAAAAGCCGCAGTGAAGTCAATTGGAGGAGCCCCCTATCCTGCCATCACTTTCGAGGCCCCCTGGGTGTCTCTCTGAGTGACAGATAAATATTTCTTCAGTGCGTTCATTTTTCACGGAGCACATTTTTGTTGTTGTTGTTCATCTGGTGCGCATCTTAAGCGTAGAGACCAGAAATAGGAAGTTGTTAGATTAAAGTCCTTGCTTCTCTGTGAGTGATGAACGTTGCCTCTGTGTGTATATGGTTTGTACAGACGCCTGGGTGCTCGTCCTTCTCCGGTCTGTTATACACTAGACAGGGTTCCGTTGTTTTTATAATAGTCCTTTTAGGATTATTCCATTTCTCTCTCAACCACCATCTCCCAACAGCATCTAGGATATTATGATCCCCGCCTAATGAATGCGGATCTGCTTTCAGTATAAAATTTTAACAGCACACCCGTCAGAGCACTTCCAGTGCATTAACTTAAACCGTCCTCACTGTAATTCCAGAATAAATAAATGGGCTTCCAAAAATTCCTGCTAGAATGGAATGAAAAAATCGTGTAATTTTTCCACAAAGTTTTTGACTTCCCCCTCTTCCTGTCATGATCCCATTTATAGATGAGGAAAGTGAGGCTTGACCAAGGTCACATAGCCAGCAAGCCCTGGAACCAAGATTTGAACCCACGTGTGACCTAAGCTAAAAGAGTAATGATACTGTTATTTTTAAAATTTTGCATCTGAATTTCACTGCTAAGATTAAAGTTTCAACCTCTCTCTGGTCTTGCATTTAATTTCTTCATAATGGCAATTGTGTTGGCTTTTAAATTAAAAAACGAAACAAAGTTTGCTTTTATTTTTTTGTATCTAAATTTGGTCTTGGAACTTCTTGGAGAGATTTATGATATGTTTTCTTCTTCCACTAGAAAGCAATAAAGGAGAAAGAGATACCTATTGAAGGACTGGAGTTCATGGGCCATGGCAAGGAAAAGTCTGAAAACTCTTCTTGACCTTAACCTTGAAACTGGACTTCTCAAGTCAGCAAATTGAAGATTGGATTTTGTCAACTAAGGCTGTGAAGAAAGACATTCATTTGACGAGAAGTTTAAGGGAGTTTTCTGTCTTCCCTCTCAATGTTTTCCTCTCACTTGCTCCAAGGTGTTTTCTCACCTGCTCTGGCACTTACAGAAACTGAACAGTGCTACAAATGATTTCTTGGGATGATTACTGCAATACTTGGTCTGGGACATACATATTTTATAAGTAAATAATGACACAAATCTCAGGATGGTCAGGGTTGCCTGGCCTCTTGAGTTATGCTGCTAAGGATGTTAGGTTACTGTCCTGAGGTTGCTGTTCATGGAATCAATTGGTTTGGACTTCTTTTTCTCTCACGAAACTAATGCTCTGAAATAGGACCCCAGCTTGGGAACTTAGTTTTATTTTTATATAGTAAGTTAACTGTTAAGATGGTTGATGGCCTGGGTTAGCCAAAAGAAAGCAAGCTTTTAACAGATTTACAACCCTGTCTGCCTTAACAAGAGGTGTTAGATTTCAAAGCTGCCATCTCAGAACTTGGTTCAGGAATTAAGAAACTTGGAGTAGCTCTGGAAGAAAATCCCTAAATTGCAAAGATTTGCCGAAACTGTTTTCCAACCCATGTCAATAAATTAAGTTAAGCTGTGTGTCATCAAAATGTCAAAATGCTGCACCTAGTTAATTGGGGATTGAGGGGGAAGGGTTTGCTTAATTTGCCTTCTTTCCCCACTTGCCCTGTAATGACTGTAATCATGAAGATGAAATAAAGAAATACATTTAGTTTCATTATTTGACCTCAGTACATGAACATCAATTACCTAATACCCCCATGTCTTAGTTTTCCAGTGTTGCCATAACAGAAATACACAAGCGGATGGCTTTCATAAATACTTATTCTCTTATGGTTTAAGAGGCACAAAGTCTGAATTCAGACACTGACTTTGGCAAAAGGTTCTTGCCTCCTTTTAGCATCTCTAGGCCCAGTATTCCTTCGAGTTCTCCACATGTTTTGGCATCAACCTTTCCCTGGATCTAGGAGTGTCACAGGTCAGGGACCTCCAGGTCCAAGGGAAACACTTCCTTCTTGGCTCTTTCTGAGTGGTAGTAGGTCCCTCTTTGTTCCCGTCTCCTTCTATCTTGTAAAGGTGTTACATGCCACCCCCCTGAGAAACTCCCTTCCATAGGATCAGGGTTGGGAAGAGATAAAGGAGTCCTGGTGTACCTGAATCGTTAACCACAAGGTTGATGGTTCAAACCCACCAGCCACTCCTTGGAAGTCTTATACAGGGTTAACTGAGTCAACTGACTTAATGGCATAAAACACCAGCATTCCCATCTTGAGCCTTTGAATGGTTTATCATATCATGGGGGACATTACAGAGCTGCCGAACCACAGGGAATCATGGCCCAGCTAAGCTGACACATTTTAGGGAGACATTCAACCCATGACACCTTATATCTTAAAAGAAACAGGGTAAGTTTTACATGTTTTATAACTTAAAGGTGAAAAATAAGTGAAGATTTTCTAAAACTAGACTATAGCAATTGGAAACTACTGATTTATATTTTGGGGGGTGAGGGCACAATATTTTAGTGGTGTGTTGTTGTTAAGTGCTGTCAAGTTGGTTCTGACCCATAGCGACCCTTTATAGGGTTTCCTAGAAGCAGCCGGTGAGCTTGAACTGCCGACCTTGCAGTTCAAATGGCTTTGCAGTCTGGCGCATTAACCCACAGTGCCACACCAGGACTCTTTAGTGGTGTGTTGTTATAATGAAATATGCCAAGATTTATAGTCAGAAAACAAAAAGGGAAGAACACAATCAACATTTCTCAAACTGGAAAAACTGAAGAAAAAAATTCAAGTCTCTACTTGCAATATCGCAGTGGTTATGAAGCGGGCTGCGAACCTCAAGGTCAGCAGTTTGAAACTACCAGCTGTTCCGTGGGAGAAAGATGAGGCTTTCTGCTCCCGTAAAGATTGACAGCCTCGGAAAACCTGTACAGGGTCTCTGTGAGTAAGAACTGACTCCACGGCACGTAACCACCACAACAGGCAAAATATTGAATGACAAAGAAAGCATCAAAAGAAGATGGAAGGAATACACAATCACTGTACCGAAAAGAGATGGCCGAGGTTCAACCGTTTCAAGAGGTAGCCTATGATCAAAAGTCAATGATACTGAAGAAGTCTGAGGTGCACTAAAGGCATTGGCAAAAAACAAAGCTCTGGGAACTGATGGGATACAAACTGAAATCTCAACAAACTCACCAGCATTCCCATCTTGAGCCTTTTAATGGTTTATCACATCATGATAAACAAACTCATCTATGCCAAGAAATCTGGAAGACAATTACCTGGTCAACTGACTGGAAGAGATCCATATTTGTGCCCATTCGAAAGAGAGGTGACCCAATGGAATGCGGAAATTATTGGGCAATATCATTAAAATCGCATGCAAGTAAAATTTTGCTAAAGGTAATTTAGCTGCAACAGTACATTGACAGGGAACTGCCAGAGGTTCAAGCCAGATTCAGACAAGGATGTGAAATGAGTATCATTACTAACATCAGATGGATCTTGGCTGAAAGCAGAGAATACCAGAAAGGTATTTACCTGTGCTTTATTGACTACTCAAAGGCTTTTGAATGCATGGATCATGACAAGCAATGGACAGTATTATAGAGAATGAGTATTCTGGAACACCTAGTTGTGCTCATAAGGAACCTACACATAGACCATAAGGCAGTCGTTCGAACAGAACAAGGGAATGCTGAATGGTTTAAAATTACAAAAAGTATGAACAAGGGAATGCTGAATGGTTTAAAATTACAAAAATAATACCAGGGCTGTACTCTCTCACCATACTTATGCTGAGCACAGAAATGATAAACTGGATTATATGAAGAAAAATGTGGTATCAGTATTGGAGGAAGACTCATTTACAACCTGCAATATGTAAATGATACAACACTGCTTGCAGAAAGCAAAGAGGACTTAAAATATCTACTGGTGAGGATCAAATTCTATAGCCTTTGGTATGGATTGTCTCTCAAGGTAAAGAAAACAAAAATCCTTACCACTGGACCAATAAATAACATCAAGATAAATCAAAAGATGTTATTTTGCTAGCATCAACCATCAACACTCATGGAAGCAGCAGTCAAAGAAATCAAATGGCATATTGCATTAGGCTTATCTGCTGTACAGTACCTCTTTAAAGTGTTGACAAGCAAAGATGTCAGCTTGAGGACTAAGGTGTGCCTGACCCAAGCCATGGTATTTTCCGTAACCTCATATGCATGTGGAAGTTCGACAGTGAATAAGGAAGACCTGTTGAGGACAGCAAGTACTGAGATGCTGAGGACCGGTGTCATGGACGAAAATCCAACACAATGGCCGCTCTCAGGCTTGCTAGCCAGGGACCCTGAGGGCCCAAGGAAGTAACCTCCGGACGTCCCAGGTTCATTGGCTTTTATGAACTCACTGTTGGGCTAGCTCTGTATAATTTTCTTTGGTCTTATTCATTCTATGCTTCGAACTCCAGTAATTGTAGCTTCTGAGAAAATGGTTTCTTATGTGTCTCTCTTAATGTCTCCCCTGTGTTGCCAGTGCTTAAGATCCTGGGAACAAAATCTCTCTGAGGAACAAACTCTGGCCACCTGGCAAGCACGTCCAAACTGTTCTTTATCAAGTTATTCAGTTATGTTTGATACTAACTTAATACATGAACCCTTGATACCCATGGACAAATATTAAACCAAAAACCTCTCCTAAAGCCGAGGCTGTAAAAATTCCTAAGGCAAGTTAGCTGGGAGACGCTGGAAAAAATTCCCCTAAGAAATTCACCCAAAGTAGATTGGTGACTTCCGGGCTTTTGTTCAAAGAAATAATAGCGACAGCCTTCTCAAATCGTTCCCAGGTGCAGACCATTAACCTAGGCGTCCTCCTTCCTCCTGCGAGCCTCGGCCAGATAGCCAAAATAGCTGGACTCCTTTCAGACCTTTTGAATCCTTTTCTCACTGAAGATTAGGTGCTATAGGTACGTTAATTAGGCTTGAGAAACCTCGAGTTGCTGCCTTGGGATTCGAACCTAAAAAGTACTATATAACAATTTGCTTGAATTTCTAGAAAATTAAGGATGTTAGATTATCAAGACAATTTGTGATATATGTTTTAGAATTTGTTCCTGTAAATCACTGAGTCCTGTTTTCAACGATTAATCACATTTCACTTCTGTACCCTGTCTTAATAATCCCCGCCTTCCTTTGTGTACAGATCCTCCCTGAAATAAAAAGGAGGCGCAGACTGAAGCCCGCATGCATTACGGCTTGCAGGGCATGCATTACAGGCAGGCGTTGCAGTTGGCAAGGTGCCTACTGCTTGCACAGCCATGATGTTTACAATGTAGGATCTGTCTGATGCCAGTGTGGCATCCACTCTGGTCTCGGGGTGTCTTCTTGTCTCTCTTGTTGCGTCTTTTGTGTGTATTCTTTCTCTATCTCTGTCGCCACCAGATCTCCCAACTTCGTGAACCAAACTCTCATGTCGAGGCCGGTTCTCGACAAAGACTGAAGAAGAATTGATGCATTTAAGTTACGGTGATGAAGGAGAATGTTAAAAGTACTATGGAGTGCCAAAAGAACATACACGTTTGTGTTTGTTGAACCATAATGCTCCTTAGAAGCCAGGATGGCCAGATTTTGTATCTCATACTTTGGACATATAAGGAGGGACCAGTCCTTGGTGAGGAGTCCTGGTGTGGCGCTGTGGGTTAGTGCGTCAGACTGCAGAGCCATTTGAACTGCAAGGTCGGTGGTTCAAGCTCACCAGCTGCTCCTTGGAAACCCTATACAAGGTCGCTATGGGTCAGAATCGACTCGCCGGCACTAAACAACAGTCCTTGGAGGACATTATGCTCAGTAAAGCGGAGGGTCAGCAAAAAAGAATGATCCCACAACGAGATGGACTGGCACAATGGCAGCAGCAATGGGTTCAAATGCAGCAACGACTATGAGGTTGGCATAATACTGGCCAGTGTTTAATTCTGTTGTGTGTGAGGTCAGAGTCCTTGGTTTCACAGAGCCACTCGATGGTACATAACAATAATTTAACTTTTTTTTTTACAAATACTCTGGAGAATCACACAATGCAACCAGCATTGGATGCAATCTTAGGCCACAAGTCTATATACTCATTTGCAACTGACCCAGTGATAGCAGAACCTTTCATCTTGCCTCTTTTTAGATAAGCACTGGACTGCTAAATATAAGCTTTGTGATTCAAACCCACCAGCTGCTCTTCAGAAACCCTATACAGGGTCACCATGATTCAGAACCGACTCCACAGTACTTAACAACACGACCCTTCGCCCACCGCCTCATTATCTTCAACATAAATACATCTTTTCTTCAGTATGACTTTCGTTGTCCGATCACCACTGGAGTCCTGGTGTGGCATTGTGAATTAATGCGCTGGACTGCAAATTTGGTTTGAACCACAAAGTGGTTCAAACTCACTAGCTGCTCCTCAGAGACCCTATGCAGGGCCACTACGGGCCAAAACAGACGTGACAGCACATAACAATTACCACTGTGAGATGTACCTTCTCTCTGAACTCTGGTTTCCTTTTCTTGCCCATAGTCAGAACCATGTCACCCACACCACAGTCGGAAGGCACTTCAGTTGTTCCTTGATTCCCTTTACCTAACGATACACAGATTTTTGGTAGCTGCGTTCTCAGCCAAGTTGATCATGATTAATTCCAGAACAGCCAGGGAAATTTCTAATTTTGCACCCACATCCTTGCTTTGAACGCTGGAAAAGGACAAAAAGGAAGTAGGTACAAAGGACATCAAGAAATCAAAACTTAATTTCTAAAGATTTTTTTCTGCAATTGTTAAGTGCTGTCGGGTAGATTCTGACTCTAGTGACCCTGTATAGGGTTTCCAAGGCTTTAAATCTTCACAGAACCTGAAAGCATCTTTCTCCCTTGGAACAGTTAGTTGGTGGTTTCAAAAGACCTTGTGGTTCATAGTCCAGTGCTTTTTGCTTGAAGCCAAGTATCTGAACATTTATATTGGGGTACACAATAAAATGTCAGGATCAGATGGGAATAGTGTGACGCTCCCACAGCTGTGTATGTTGAATTTAGTTGTTATGTGAAACTCTTAAAAAACTTGATTTACAAAAGATTTAAATTCTATTATAGCCTCCCCACTTTACCCATTATTAATGTATGTGATCAGTGTGTAATGTCACCTATAACATTTTCTCATTTATCTCTTCTGACTTAAGTAAGGGTCGTAACATATTCTTGGAACCTAGGCCAGGGAGGTCAGAAGCAAGTCAAAGTTATATACAGAGGGATTTCAAAAAGTTCCTGAAAAAACGGAATTGAAAGATAATGGAGTCTTCCAATCAACATTGTGAAGCCCCCTCTATGGTCTATGTGTAGGTTCCTTATGAGCACAACTAAGTGTTCCAGAATACTCATTCTCTACAATACTGTCCATAGCTTGTCATGATCCATGCATTCAAAAGCCTTTGAGTATAGTCAATAAAGCACAGGTAAATACCTTTCTGGTATTCTCTTTCAGCCAAGATCCATCTGATGTTAGTAATGATACTCATTTCACAGCCTTGTCTGAATCTGGCTTGAACCTCTGGCAGTTCCCTGTCAATGTACTGTTGCTATATGTATCTGCCCTAGCTCAGTCTGCCATACACACACCAGCTAGGACTTAGAAGTGCAGGGTGTGGTTAGATCACCAGGTGACAAGGATACCGGGGATTCTTTTTGCCTAACTGTTCTGGCTTTTATACCAACTCTATGTCTCACCTTTGCATCACTAGTTTAATGGATATAAACTTTGTAGGCTCATAACATTGCTATAAAACATGTGCAGTTGTGCCTTGCTTTAAAAAGAACACACCAACTCCAAGCCAACCCTGTTCTTTTCTTCTCACTTGTCCCAGGAGGTTTGCTTGATGTGAACGCTGCATATGGTAACCCTGTAATTCACTGCAGAACTTCCCAGTTTTGGAAAGTTTGTTATTGTGAGCAGTTGTCTTCCTTTTACTTTGAGGTGGTGAGAGGGGTATTGTAATTAATATTTTCCAGAATAGACTTAAATGTAAGTCCAGTGCTCCAACATCAGCTACCTATGCTATTCATATCAAGGCTAAAACTAAAAAGACACATGGCCACATCCTGCCAAAAGGAGTAATATCTGAAATTGCTGAGGGACCATTTTCTCTGAATCAATTGTTCCTCGTTCTATTTTGACTTTATCTTCCTTATAAAGTGACTCCAATTACCTCAGCTACTTCAAAGGCTTTAGATTTTGATAAGGAATTTTTCCTCACAATTCCTGTAGCTACAAGTTAGGAAAAAAATGCTCAGGCTACAAAGAGTATTTCACAGAAAATGCGGATGAAACAGGACAGGACAAAACAGGACCCAGAGAAAGCAATTCTCTGGAAACCCTTGCGTACGTTTTTCAGATGCAAAGGCAAGTCATTCTGCTAGCCACTCAATGCCTGCCTTTCAAAGTCTGTCAAGGCCCAATCTAGATACTTAATAAGCTTCACTGTTCTACCTATCCTGGGCACAAGAAACCCAGGCCAAGGCCTGTTGTAAAGACTCATTCCACTCAATGGACACTGAACAGCAGTCATAGGCCTTGGTGTGCAGAAAGGGAACTAACACCAATGTGAAGGAAAAATGCCACCAAAGAATACAATTCTCAGGTCATGATGAAGTTATTTATTTAAGCCATCTCCTCTCAAAAGCAAAAGATGGGACATCAATGTATTGGTCATCATTTGATAACATGTAAAAGTGCGCTTCAGGTCCTATATACTTTTCTGGTCCGCGTGCAGAGTAATGGTCCAATGCTGTGGTCCCCAGTAGTGGTCCAGGTTCTCTTTAGTCATCTTCATAACCAGTTGGAAGTGGATTCATATGAGAATTATGAAACAGAGTGTGGTTACCATCTCCCCAAGGAAAAGGCTGTGGAGTGAAGACATCAATTAGGCAATTCCAAAAAACTGTTTGGAAATAGCATGGCTGGGAACTGTTGAAAACTGCTTAATACATAAAAAAACAATTAGATCTTGGTCTTTAATGACATTTTTCAGCCTTCCCATAATTTAAGGAAACTCAGACTAGCAAACCCAAACCAAATTCACAGGGTCAGTCCCGACTCTGTAGTGACCCAGTTGTAGTGGCCATCCAGTCAATTCTGATCCATAGTAACCCTGTATAGGGTTTCCAAGGAACAGCCGGTGAGCTTGAACTGCCAACTTTGTGGTAATATTGACCTTGCAGTCCAGTGCATTAACCCACAGCATCACACCAGGATTCCTACTGACTCAGTAAGACAGTAAAACTGCACCATAGATTTTCCAAGGCTGTGAATCTACAAGAAGCAGACTGCCACATCTTTCTCCCACACAGCAGATGGTTAAGTGTGAAGAGCTGAACTTTCAGTTAATAGCAGAGAACTTACCCACTGTACAACCAGACCTCTGTAAAATAGACAATGAAAAATCTAGCTCAACACAGTTACTCTTAAGTCTCACTGTTGTTGTTGTTGTTGTTAAGTGCCGTCGAGTCGGTTCCAACCCATAGCGACCCTGTATAGGGTTTCCGAGGGTGTAAATCTTTACGGGAGTGGAAAGCCTCATCTTTCTCCCACGGAGCGGCTGGTAGTTTTGAACCGCTGACCTTAAGGTTCGCAGCCCGATTCGTAACCACTATGCTACCAGAGCTCCTCACTGGTAACTAGGAATTCCGTACTGTGTTTAAACAAGTGTAATTCTCAAATCCTCTGTATGAAAATGATACGTGGGAAGGAGGAGATGCAGTTTCCAACTGGGGACACGTTTGCTCCCCCAGGGAATACTGAATAATGTCTAGAGATGTTTTCAAGAAATGACACTGACATCTAAGGAGGTAGTGGTGGCTTTCTATGTAGGCTGATGTTGTTAGGTACCATAAAGTTGATTCCGAACCATAGTGACCCTGTACAGGGTTTCCAAGGAGTAGATGGTGAGCTCGAATCACCGACCTTGCAGTTCAAATGACTTTGCAGTCTGACGCATTAGCCCACAGAGCCACATCAGGACTCCTTCCATGCAGGTGGCAGTGAGCAATTCCAAGGAAATGAACCCCAAGAGCAACCACTACCCATCTCTCTGTTGCTAGGATATGCACATTTCAGCAGAATTTCCTGAGAATGCAAGAAAATCCTAGCACTCTGCTTCCCAAACCCCAGCTAATGTGAACAATATGGATCACAATGGTCCAGTCTCATTTTGTACAGGGTCTTCAGGATTCAGGGCCTGATCCAGCAGCTGCAAACAAGTGCCATCTGTTGAGGGAGGTCAGCAATTACATTGTACAGGACAGTCCCCATAACAAGAACTGATGCTACAGATGGTGCTGGGCTAATCCTGAGTCATGGCAATCCCATGTCACAGAAGAGAACAGCTCCAGAGGCCTCCCTTGGTTGTAATCCTTAAGGAGGCAGATTACCAGGTCTTTCTTGCGTGGAGTCACTGGGTGAGCTCACACTGCCATCCTTTCAGTTACCACTGTAGCCATTAGTGCCAGCAGGGTTCCTTGTTGTTCAGTGTCACCAAGTCAGTTCTGACTCATAGCCACTCTGTATAGCATTTCCAAGGAGCAACTTGTGGGTTTAAACTGCTGACATAACAGTTCAAACCAATCTTGCGGTCCAGTGCTCATCCTATGCCACATACGCTATACCCAGCTCAAAATATCAATAGTGATGATTCTCAAAGACTCAACAATCCTTCCTGAATCTAAGAGTCTATGTTAAGTCTTTATGAGGTCAGTCCGACCTGGGGAAGGTGATATAGTTTACTATTATAGTTGTTGTTAAGTGCCATTGAGTTAGTTCCAACTCTTTGCAACCCTGTATATGGTTTCCAAGGAGAGGCGGGTGGATTTGAACCACCAACCTTGCAGTCCAGGGCATGATCCTGCAGCGCCACACTATGACTACATGTATATTAATAGCCAAAGGAGTAGGAGTAAGTAGTTGAGAAGATAACAAATGTAGAGGTACAAATTAGGGGAGTCTGTTGGTCTCTTCAATATCAGTTACAACAGCAGCAGTTAACAACAGCCAGATGTCCAGGTCTCAGACAGACCACCTTCAGCCTCTGTCACTCTAAGAGGCTTTCCTAAATCTTTAAGTTTTATACAACCGATACTATTTCAGGGCATTATCAAAAAGCAGGGGATGCGTCAACCTGGAGATGAGAAGAGAAAGGGCTGGGTGGTCTGAAGTATGGTTAAAACCTGGGGACTCCTAGGCCCATGGATAAGGATACAGCCATGGAGGGCTAGAGCTGAGAGTGAAGAGTCCAACTGATATGAAGTGAGGGGAGATGTACAAGAATGCCCAAACTTGCAAATACTACCTATATGACCGACCTAGCTGCTATGGCTGGATGAGTAGAACTCGACTTGTTGTTGTTAAGTGCCATCGAATCGATTCTGACCCATAGTGACCCTGCATAGGGTTTCCAAGGAGCCGCTGGTGAGCTTGAACCACTGACTTTGCATTTCAAATGACTTGGCAGTCTGACACATTAGCCCACAGTGCCACACCAAGACTTTACTAAAGGAAGATAAAAAAAATTTGATAAAGGAGACAAGTGAAAATCACTACAATTTGATGAACTTGACCCATATTTATGGATGTAGTAGCTCAAAATACCAACTGAGAGGGAACGAATCTTCACATCACAAATGTACACAAGGTTGATAGGGATTGGCAACTTAGACATTGACTACCTAAAATGGGGAGGCTATTAAGGCATGAAGTGACTGGATTACAAGTTTTCAAGAGGGAGTTTAGTTTCACAGTGTGCAGGGGAAGGTAGAATCCCCACTGAATAGCATTCATCTTGTCTAGATGGGTCTGGTGAAAGGAGATGGAATAAGAGTCTTATAATTCAATAGTAATTTCTATAATGACTAATAATTGTCACAACTGTAAAGGTAGAAGTTTTGTAATGAAAAGGAGGAGTAGTTAATCTTACATTTCAGAAACAGAGGACCCTAGGATCATCAAGGGAGAAGAGCAAGAGCAGAAAGTGTTACCCTATCCAGAGAAGCAGCAACACCAGAGATGAGGACATGGACAGACAGAGCAGCTGAGGACTCCAGACTCATGGAAAAAAAAAGGCTGTGTGTTGGCAGCCAGGAGGCAGGCTTGCATTGCAGAATGTACCCCTTGGATGTTTAAGTGATTAAATATTTTTGAGTGTTTTTTGTGTATATAAAAAAACAAAACAGGGAATAGAAGCAAATACTGTTGAATGATGATGCATGGAGCGGATTGTAATTA